TAGTCTGGCTTCTTGCGCGGTCACTCTCCTTTTTCTCCTTTTAGATTTATCTGTCACTGTCTTAATCCATCTGTTTGCCTCAGCCAATGTATCAAATAGTCCTGAGACATGCTAACTTGTTCCTTTTTCACTGAAGGCTGGTGTGTGAGCGACATGCCGGAGAGCGGCGGCCTGCTGCCAAAGGTAGGTAGGCAACTGGAGCACTCTTTGGAAATGTTCTCCCTGTTAAAGTTGTTCTACTGTTGGATCAACTTTCAAACTTTATTATTGCTTTAAATGGCTGCTGTACAGCAAAGAAATGACCTTTGCTCACCTAAATTATGACTCCTTTGATCATCATCAAAATGTATTTTTGCAAGGTATTAATGGTTTAGAAATAACTATGTGTTAAGTATAATGTTTTCCCTTTGTTTTCTTTTGTTGAAATTTGATTATGTAGATTTTTTGTATTTCCTGGTTATTACTGCTGATGCAATCGTTCCTCAGTAAAAATAAAACAAAGAATTAAGGTTGAAAATCCCTCTCTTAGGAATAACAGTTCTTTTATTTTTACTAGCAGACATCAATTCAATCAATCAATCAATCAATTTTTATTTGTATAGCGTCAACTCATAACAAGTGTTATCTGGAGGCACTTTACAAAAAGCAGGTAAAATACCTTACTCTTTTTTATGTTACAAAAAGCAGGTAAAAGACCTTACTCATTGTTATGTTACAAAAAGCAGGTAAAAGACCTTACTTATTGCTATATTACAAAGACCCGGCCTATCCATCATGAGCACTTTAGCAAAGCAGCAAAAGACATGAAGAACAGACTCACATAATTATATAAGAGCAGGATCCAAATTAAAAGGCTTTTCCCCTCACACATCGCCAACATCCTATAACAGCATCCAACATAGTCTTCAATTTCTCTCATTACTGATATCATATCTGATCTTTAATGTATTGTAACAACCTAGTCTGTGGTGAGTGACCCTGTGCATTGCATTGTCTAGTCCATCCGTCCTCATCCCTGCAATAAACCATTCTTCATAATTAGCCAGCAGTATGATCTGGGCATTACAAGTCCTCTGCCACAGCCCCTAAATGGACAGATTTCAACCGATGCCTGCTGGTGTGATCGGCATCATTATATTTTAATTAATCCATTCTTCTCACAGCAACACAGTAATTACAATCTATTTTACGACACGGCATGCTGCGAAAGAGAGGATGGAGGAGAGAAATAGAAAGGCACTAAGAGGAAATAACAGCAAGAAGAGGGAAAAGAAGGGGAGAGGAGGGACGTTCAAGAAAATGAGGAGAAAAAAAAAGGTAAGGAGAGAGAGGAGACAAAGAGCAAGAAAAAAAATACATCACAAATGCTTTGACTGATTACCAATATGTCATTGCCTGGCTGACATTGTAAAAGCATTGTAAAAGCATTTATATTATGTCTGGAGGAGCTCAGAGCTTTCTCTCTCTCTTTCTCTCTTTCTCTCCCTCTCTCTCTTCTAGATTCTATTTCATACAGTCAAAAGGAGAGGCTCCATTTCCTCCATCCTCCATCTATATAAATCAGAGCAGGTACGGACACTCAGACATGCTGTGGGTGTGATAATAACATTAGAGGATTACAATGGCACTCCTCCCTGGACAAGATCACCTGTCTCACCTGTCATAAAACAGCTGCTTTTTGGGGTTTAAGCGCTTTACATGAGGAGAGTGCATAGGTGTGTGTGAGTGTTCAGGGGGAAACACAGTGCAGTGAACAAGATGAGGCTTACACTGCCAATGTTATCCATGAAAAGTTTTGCACTTGAGCAGTGTCTAATAAGTAACACCCGATCTCTTCAGTTTAAATACCTAAATGTGTTACCTGCAGCTGCAGGCCTGACCTCTCTTCAGACTCAATGTGATATTTTAAACAAGCAGCAGAACTCTGCTGTGTGACAGTGACTGGACCAAGAAATGTGGTCAAGAAACCGCCAGGGCACTTAAAGTGATTTATACAAGTACCTGAAATTATCACAGCTAGAAATCATATAGAGATAATTATAGTAATCTTACATCCCATAACCACAACCACAGTCTCTACTCTGTAGACGGTTAATACAATTTTACACAATCAAAACTTCCAACACTGAGAAATATCTTCAGGGGGTCTGTGACATATGGATCACTGTACAGTGTCTTCACAACATGCACCATACAACAACAGAGTAGCATGAACGTTTATTTCTATAGAATTATCATTATACCCTGATATGATGGATCACCTAATATATAACACATACATGTGTTTTTTTTTCAATAATAGGTTATTTAAGTTCGTTACAGTACAAGCCCAATTTTGAATGTCACTTTCTATACTGGTGAGAATACAGTTCACCAAAATATGAACTTTTACAAAAAAAAAATCACCTCTCCAAAATATATCTGGAAATTAAGACACAACTCCAGAAGGGGAAATTGATGGATTATGTTTTTTTTATGAGGAATATAGGTTCACCTAATAACAGTCTAAATAAAAGTACACAATGGATTTATCAGGTTTGTGAATGTGACAAATATGATAGCACATAGCGAGACGATAATGTAACGTATAAGTGAAATATGTCACTTGACTGTTAATGTGTTTTTAACAACCTTGTGGCCAAACAATAACTGATCAGAAAGAACACATTAAGAGAAGATTACAACAAACCATCACACCAAAGATTAATTAAAAACACACATTAGAAGACTGCTAATACACCTGCCCCAAAGTTTGACTGTTTGAGATATATTCTTAATTTCTTATGTAAAGGTGTTAGACAGGAAGAATGCTTTGATATGGTGAAACAATACAACAAGGGTGAAACCCAAAGACTACATCTTTTCTTTTAGAAGTAACACTCTCAAGTATTTGATTATGAAAATTATGACTTCAGGATGCTACAGCTCCTGGCTGAGTTATGGCTCGCTGCAGATAAATACCCAAAATACCATGAATTATTTTGTTTCTCTGTGTGCAATGCAGTGCTAAACAGCTGCTAGCTTAAGCCCATAGATCAACTGTACAGGCACGAGGGGACATCAATCCCACAGAGAAAAAATAAGAACAACTATAGGGCTTTCACACTTGCAGAAAAGTTTGCCTGAGGAGCTGTATGTATGAAAGCAAAAAGACACATTTTTCGTTCTGAGTTTCTCCTGCCAGACCCCTAGTATTTTTTCCGCTGCAAGTCCGAGTGAGCTGCTGTGAGAACTCACCAGGATATTCTCCAGAGAATTCACCTCGAGCCAATAGTGACGTTTATATACAGTACTGTGACTGCTGCATGGTGCATAGAATGTATGCATGCGACCACTACAATCTCCTTGCATGTGACCAATAACATTGCATTATGTTTTCTGTTCATCAGTATGTTGTTCTTCTCTTTTCTTGATAGTGTGATTCTGTTGAACTACACATAGCATTGATATAAAGGCAAACATTCTAATTATAGCATCGTATAGCGGACTCTGTTGCTTTGTCCTGCTGAAATGATCCAGATATTTTTAGGAGTGCATATGTGAAAATGGTTTTAGAGACATTAAATGATAAGACATGGCACAAAGTATAGTATTTGCACCCTCCCCCCCCCTGTCTGATAGGGATAGCCTCCCGCTTTGAGGTGCATATGTGAACAGCCAGTTTATTAGAATATCTGGAGCAGTCCTCCTGTACATGGATCCAACACCATCATCAAGTTTGCGGACGATACAGCGGTGATTGGCCTCATCAGCAACAACGATGACACAGCCTACAGGGAGGAGGTACAGCATCTGGCCGCCTGGTGTGCTGACAACAACCTGCTCCTCAACACCAGCAAGACGAAGGAGATCATCGTGGACTTCAGGAGAGAAAGAGGAAGCACGCACAACCCCATTCACATCAACGGGATGGCTGTTGAACGTGTCTCCAGCTTCAAGTTCCTGGGGACCCACATCACAGAGGACCTCTCCTGGTCCACTAACACCTCCAGTCTGGTTAAGAAGGCTCATCAACGCCTCTTTTTCCTGAGGACACTGAAGAGACACCACCTGTCTTCAGCTGTACTGATGAACTTCTACCGCTGTGTGATCGAGAGCATCCTGACCAGCAGTGTCTCAGTCTGGTACGGAAACTGCTCTGTCGCAGACCGTAAGGCGCTACAGCGGGTGGTAAAAACCGCCCAGCGCATCACAAGGTGTCCACTTCCTGCCATTGAGGATGTCCAAAGAACACGCTGTCTGCGGCGAGCTCATGGCATCCTTAAAGACTCCTCCCACCCTGCCCACAGACTGTTTACCCTCCTGCCCTCCGGCAGGCGCTTCAGAAGCCTCCGGACCAGAACCAGCAGACTGAGGAACAGCTTTTTCCCCAGAGCTGTCTCTCTACTGAACTCTACCCCCCGAACTCTGAACTCTGTCTCTCTCTCTCTCTCCGCCCCCTGCTGACCCATCTTAATCTGTATATTACTAGTATAGCATGCTCACTGCACCTTAATCTGTATATTATAATCCCAAGAATACACTTATTTTGTAGCATTACTTATTTATAGCATTTATTTATATTTATAGCATCCCACTAATCCAGCCATCCAGATATACCTAATAATTCACTTTTTTTAGTCTATATCTGTAAATTTTGTAATTACTGTACATAGCACTGACTCTTGCACTTTCTGCTTATTTGCACTTCTGGTGAGATGCCAAACCTCATTTTGTTACTCTATACTTGTATATGTGTAATGACAATAAAGTTGAATCTCATCTCATCTCATCTCAAATGATCTAGATATTTTCAGGAGTGCATATGTTAAATGAGCTCTAGATTCTAGACTTGATGCTAGCTAACAAGGATGCATTAACAAATAATTAAGGATGTCGAGTGAGGCGGTTACCATAGCGAGTCAATTTTATGTATAGTGACTGGTTAATACACCATTGAGAACATGATGATACCATATGTTTGTTGTTAAAACCATGTGTGAGTGGATGCTTCACAATACCTATGATGAACATGGTATCCTTTTGCGTTGATGTTCCACCCAGGCTCTTTGGGGTCGGGGATCTTTGCTGTCTTGGCGATCAAATGCTGAACATCCCTCCATGTCAGCGTAGGACTGGGGCAAGAGACATGAAACAGAATTTCATCAAACGCATCCTTCCTTCGGCCGTGTTCTACACAGACTGAAACCACAGAGGAAGCACTTCAACTCTGCGTGATACTCTGAAGAAAAACCTGCAGGGAGCAGAATATGAGCTGTAGCCCTGTGTAGAATGAGGCTGGAGGACTGTTTTATTAGGACTTAAGGCACATCCTATCAGGCATGCATGTTATGCTTCTACTACGTTTATGCTAAAGTTTATGGACACATAAACGGCTGTGATGAGACACTGCCATACCTTTTACAGCAGGTCCTCCAGACATGAAAGCACCTGTTTAAGTCAAACTACGATTTTAATAACGGTGTCAGTAAAAAAAAATGTGAATTTAAGAAAGAACATTTGAGACTTTAACAAAAGAGCCTAGAGAGTCGAATGTAGAAAAAGTCTTCTTTTTAATCCCAGGCAGGGGAATTCTAATAGAGCGGACTCAAGTGTCATGTCAAGCAATATACTAATGGAATCCAATTAAGACCTTTAAACTGCACAGAGAGCTGGAGGATATTAGCTCAGTTTTCTATAACAAAAGACCAAAGGGTCGTCAACGAGGGCTTTTTCAGGATATAAAAAGCATAAAAGAAATTGGGTTTTCCTGCTTTATCCACTCATTATTGTTCCCTAAGAAAATGAGTTGAATTGAGTAGAAGAAAACCCGCTTGGCCACCCATTCTGAAAAGCCTTTTCTCTTTCTGAGAAAAAAAAAATGGATCCACTGTTGGCTTAAGAATTTCACATGAACAGTCATTTCTCCATTTCAGGAACAGAATGAAGTTAATTCCAGGTGTGCACCGCTGTTTGACTCCATTTTCCCTTTATTATTGACATGACTACAACACATGCATGTCAATTCTGCCACATCAAGACATAGTTTCATAGTCTTGTACTGATGTGAAGACATGCCCTTAAAATCACACAGGTTTATCACTGTTCTGTTGAGTGTTTGACATCTCAGGAAACATCAGGCTCAGATATCAACAGAAGTATTCCATCCACGTATTGGAGAAAAAAAATAAAGCAGAACAAAAGCGGGGAGAGAAGCTTTCATTAGCAGCATAAAACAAAAACCTCAGCAAGCAGCGAGAGGAGGCGGCTAAAACAACATGATAGGAATAATACCAGTAACACTAATAATAGACGGATAGAATGAAACAAAACACAACGCACAAACAATTATTTTAAGCTTTGATTTCAAAGGGATTGGAGTGTGTGTGCGTGTGAAGGGGGGGGGGGGGGGGGGGTAGGCTTTGTACTTTTGAACTGTTGCTGCTCACTGCATGTGTCTGTGTGTATGAGTGTGTGTTCTGAATCATATATTATCGGCAGCAGCGTGATTCTGTTGTGTGTGCACCCCCACCTCCATCATCAGCACCACCACCACCAACAGCCCTCTGGTGGAATCAGAGAAACCCCCACGGCCCCGGCTGGTTTGCATAAAGCAAACAAAATTAAATTTGCTTTGCTAAATCAAAGCATGTATGGTATTCCAAGCCGCTCTCTCTGGGACAAATTACTTCAAACGGCCTCCTTTGTATCATAACAGAATAAAAAAAAAATAATCAGCCCAATCAGCGGCTCTCCAAAACCCTCGACTCGGGAATTAATTATTGAACCGAGGGCTTTTCTCCCTCCTAGCAGTCCGCGACACAGATCTATTTATTTTGGAAAAGTCGTTTTGCTCTTAAAAACACACTGTTGGCTGAAAACCCAGTTAACTGCTATCTCTCTCTCTCTCTTAATGTTTTCAGTCCTGTTTTCTGCACAGACCCTGAAGGGGGCATGTGAATACGTTTAGGCTACGTAATTAATTTGAAAACCCCACAACCAGCATCCACCATAGTGCTGGTAAAACAGAAGTATTGCTTATGCTATAATGGACTTAAGATGAACTGAGCTGTTAACTTGTAAGGGTTTTTTTTACACAGATGTGTCATTGTTTTTTCTCTGCACTCATGCTAGACTATGTGTTTGTCCTCCTGTTTGTTTTGGTTTGGCACAGAACATTGTTTATTGAGTGTGGGATGCAACTCAATTAGAAAAAGATCAGCAAAGACCGAAGGATCCCAGAATGTAATTTTAAGTGTATGATGTATTTTAACCATTAAATGCAGGGTTGGTCATTTTCTCCAAATACACTTTTTAAGATTTTGGTTGATTGTCTTTAGTTCCTGACAGAAATGTATAATTCATGTGCTCTGAAAAGGAACAAAGAAAATATGTCATCTGTTGCAGTTGGAAGCATATAAAAATTTCAACCAATGTCTGCCACGAGGTACCAATCTGATGAACCAATCAGACGCCTCCCTGTCTCCCTGCTCGTTCTCGAAATCTACAATAGATTTCAAAGCCAAAGACACACAATCTTCATCTCTGAACATAAGAAACAATACCTTACAGTTAAAGGTTATTCACTTTGGGGCATCTGTGGCTTAGTGGTAGAGTCTGTCATCATTAAAGTGGAGATCAGGGGTTCAAACCCCAGCTCCTGCAGACACATGTCTGATGTGTCCTTAGGAAAGACACTTAAACTCAAAGTTGTTCCGGCTGCTTCATCGGGCAGCGCGTGAATGTGTAGGTGTGACCTGCGGTGTTAAAGCGCTCTGAGTAGTCAAGAGACTAGAAAAGGGCTCTACAAGCTCAAGTCCATTTATCATTTACTCCATTTGTAGAGCAACTTCACTTTTTTAAAGATCATGTTTTTTGGGAGTTTTGCCTTTATTTGATTGGACAGATGAAGAGAGACAGGAAGTGTTGGGAGGAGAGAGTAGGGGATGACATGCAGCAAAGGGCCGAGGTCAGATTCTAACCCACCGCTGCTGCAACAAGGACTACTGCCTCTGTACATTGGGCGCACATCATAACTGCTAGGCTATCAGGTTCCCCTATGAGATCCTTTTTTGGCTTGTAACAGTTACAACACATGTATTAAATTTCTTGTAGCAGATTAAGTTTTAGTGTCAGGGTATTGTGCATGCTGGCTTACGTTCACATGTTCAAGACTTACTTAACGACTTGATTAAAGCAGAATCATTAGTAACTATCAATTAGTTAATGCATTATAAATCATTACTGTGTTCTCTACTATAACAGGCCAACATGTCTGCTTTATAGCCTATCAAATCTGAAGACATATCACCTGATCACATTCATTAAAACAGTAACAATCAATTTCCCTCCTAAATTATATTGAACAAATGTAAGAGCTGAAAAGTATATTAAAACACATCACCCATCAATCATCACTTTAACTGATGCATGAAGAACATACACTTAAAACTTTTAAAACTTCAACAAAACTCAGTGAAGGCATCATGTTTCCTGTCATGGATTATCAATCTGTGGAAACTCAACACTGTAAAATTATAATTGCAGACACTTGTTTTGAGATAAACAGTCGCTGGAGAAACTGACATCACTCTTACGAACCCAATCAAATGTAAGCACACTGTCCAGCACACACACATGATCACAACAAGGCTACAGCTCACAGGAGATTGGGGCAGAGTGCAACATTACATGAGCATCCTCGAGACCCTTTCAGCTTCATCCTCTCGCTGAGGCTCACAAAGCAGCACATCAGCCGTCACAGTGAGCACACAACTGTTTACAAATCCCCAGTTAATAGGATCAGGCCTCATTGACTGAGCCGCTCCAATGTGTCTGATGTAATCTATTAGCTGTATGATAGTCAGTGTCTCAGTCCGATCGATAACTCTAGGCCACCATATTGCTCCACTGTGGACTGTTACTCCTCTTTAGTGCTGCTTAGAATGCAGGCTTAGTGACTATAAAGTGTGCGTGTGTGTACCGACGATTGTCCTTGTGTGTCTGATTCCTGTACTGGTGTCAAATTCAGAGTTTTAACATTGACATTTGTGTTTTTGTATGTGTTTTACAGTTACCGTGTATCCAATTTCAAGCATAGAAAATATGTGTGCCAAAAACAATTTTGTGAAAAAAAAAATGTTTATGTGTTTAATCATAAAACATACTGTAGTTTATATTTAGGCTGACTTTTACTCTCTTAATGCTTAAAGCACAGATACATGTGGGATTTTGTTTGACTATGCTGATTTTTTTCATAAACATACACCTATTAATGGGTGCAATATTGTTCAATGCTGAATACTTGTGCATTAATGACAATTAAATGTAGATGGCATATCTGAAAGTGAATGTTCGTTCTTCTGTGTGTGTGCACAATGTTTGTGCGTGTTGAAGGGTGTCTGTAGCTGGTGTAACTGGGTTTCCAATTAAGTTGAACCACAGGCCGGATCAATGCTAGTCCTCTGTGTGCAGGAATGAGCAGCCCTGGGCCCTCAGAGCATGCCCACGAATAATTTATCACTCACACTGGGCCCCAGCAGAGAGGAGGAGGAGGAGGAGGAGGAGGAGGACGATGAGGAGGAGGAGGAGGTGGAGACGGGGAGCACAAGGACAAAGTGTCCAGCCCAGGGGAGGTAGCGCAAAAAGATGGGCAATCGAGGGGACAGAAAGATGGAGGGGCGAGAGAGAGAGAGAGAGAGAGAGAGAGAGAGAGAGAGAGAGAGAGAGAGATCAGCACCCAGAGGAGAACACTGTCAGCTCGCGGTCATTTAGAAGCATCACACTCCACAATTTTTCTGGTAAACAACCATTGAAAATGAAATTCTTCAGGGAGCACAAGGCACACAATTCTTTCTAACACAATGCTCTGTGTGTTTGCAGATTCCTGAAAAGAGGAAAATCCTGAAAATGATGACACATAGGATCAATCGGGTTTTCAATAATTGCCTTTTTAAATCAGATATCACAAAAAAACTGAAGAACTTATAAACTATAAATGAAGCAGAGTCTCAGTAAAAATAATGCAGTGTTTAATTTAATTGCACCATGGAGATCCGCTGCACAAAAATTAAGACAATTTGGTCTTAAAAAAATATTTGTTAGGCGTTTATCACAGACTTTTACGCAGAGATGG